CTTTTTGTTATCAAGCAATTCACCCCTGAATTATCATATTCCGATTCACCTTCGCTCCACATGCTGCTGCTTACCCTTCTTTTTTCTACATGATCCACTGAAATTGTGCATACACAGGATGAGGTGAAGTGGAAACATCATAATAATAGAATTTATTACATTTTTCATATTTTTTGTCAGCCAATATTTTTCTTTTACACTTGATGCTATAGCATGTGTATGAATCGTCATCATTCCACTCCATAAACCTTGAATTTTTCATTCCTTCTTCCTTGTTTTTTCCTGTGATTCTTTTCCTCACGCGAAAGATTTTTTTTTGCCACACCGCGCTTGAATAAATTTTTTGAAATATTATACTTCTTTTCATAATACCGGAAGCTCTTACATATCGTTTCCCATTTATTTTTTTTCTGTGGGGATTTGAGAATTGCAGCACATTGCCAAGGCAAGCAAATAAGAAAGAGGGGAGAAGGGCTGTTCATAAATGACGTCCTGCATTTAAGGAGGGAGGGGGGAAGAGGTCTAGTGTTCTGTGGCGGTTCAAATACAAGAAATATTAAGAATATCAAGAGGCAGGGATGGAACTAAAAATATTTTGACGTCATTTATGAATAGTCCCAAAGGAAAATATGGGAAATGTTATTTTTTAAAACAACAACCTGTTCGCTTATCATAGGTGTAATGTTCAAACAATTCATGTCGCCCTCCATCCAATTCCTTACTGCCTAGGAAGTTTAAACTGTTAACAAAGCAATAACGCTTCAATACGACGGTGTGTTCATGAACATGTTTGTGTATGTTCAATTTTATTCACTTGCTTGCTTGCGTTTACATTATGTGGAATTTTGAAATTGTTTAGATAGTCAAAAGAAAATAAAGGAGGATGATGTAAGTAAGAATGTACGAAGTTTGTGTTTGCGGAATAAGAAAATTCGAAAAATAAATAGACAAAATGATATCATTTTAAGTTGATTTAAACGGGATGTTGATTGAAGAGAGAATTTAAAGATGATTAATTTTGGATGATGTAATGGAATTGCTAGTTAGGAGTCATATGTACATGATTTTGTTAATGATAGCAGAAGTCTTAAGTAGTCCAAGTGAATAAGCATTGAATCAAATTGAAATAATAATTTTAAGTCAATATTCGGATAGCCATGGGTTCAAATCCCAACAAAAGCAAGAATACGAAATTTTACCGATCTCATGTCCATTTTCTTGTCATACCTTTCCATATTTGAGTTTGTGATGGAAAAAAAATCCCAAAACCCATGTTAGGGGTCGTTCACTTATGACGTCCGAAAATAACGGTCATTTTTCTTGTTGACTCCCACCCCCTGGACGTCATAATCAATAAAATCGTCCACCAAATTCCTATCAAATTCCTATCAATGCAGTTCCTATAAAAATTTAATTTTCATCACCCTCATTTGTATGTTAAATAAAATACATTTAAATAGCGGTAATTGAGTAGCAAATCAAAAACTAATCAATCATTTAAAGGCAGGAGAAGATTTTTGTGTCATTAATGCTCACCGTATTTTCCTCCTGTACAGCGTTTAACGTCAATTAAGAAGAAATTTCTCATTTTCAATATTTTTAATGCAACAGAATGTATGAATCGTGTACAGTGTCGCTGGATTTGTTTTTATATCAACATTGACTGTATCATGATGACTCATGAATCTTCAACTTTTTTTTGTGAGCACTCAAAAATTAATGGAAATGTGCGAGGAGTAAAAAATGAGTTTTAAATGTTTTTAAATGTTGAGAGTCAAAGGCGTCTTTTAAGGATTGTTTTTAAAATATATATATATATATCATTTATGAACAATCCCCTTTCGACAACCTTTACTCACGTTTAAGATTGAAGTTCATATTTAAATTACTAAAAGGAATGTTAAAAAAAATTAACGGTTTTTTAAAGTTTGAAAATTTAACGGTTAAAATAAATTTGAAAATTCGTCAGGCAAACCGACAAAAATCATACAAATTCTTGTCCTTCTCATGCAAAAAATATGCGTGACAAAAAATCGTTGGCCACTCATGGTGCCTCAAAAAAAAGTATAAATGTGTATGCGGTTTATTTAATATTAAATAAACCACCCTTAATATTCGTTCTTTTTTTTCTCACACAGAACCGCACATCATCAGGTTGGTATAACGCACATTGATGGTCTCTCCCTACACCACGCAATTAAAAAAAGAGACTCTCGAAATTCATTTTTAAAAATATATCCATCATTTTGTCATTTTCATTAAAATTAAATTTTCCCTGTCGAATGTGTTCTTTGCTGTTATTCGTTTTGTCATCGCCATCAAAGTCATCAACAATCGACTGAGGAGCGTGAATGAAAAAAAAAGTTTTTTTTTTCGTAGATGAGCAGCAACAAAAAAAAATTTTTCACATTCAAAATACGAAAACGGAATGAAGAGCTGTCAAGTGTGCAAATATTTAGCAATTAGCGAGGCATTGGTGTCAGGTGCGCTATGTGAAGCAAAAAAAAAAAATACTTTTTCAATGGCGTGTAAATTGAATGACAAATGCTTCGTTGTAAATTTTTTGTTCGTAGCTATGGAGTTATTAAATGAAATTTTGTGGATGTCCAGTGTAGAAATTCAATTAATTATAGTTCCTAAATTTCATCATATGATGCTGATGCTGCTGTGCCGGTGATTTTATAACTATTGTTTTCGTCTTTTAACTGGCAAGCGAGATTGGAAGGGAAAAAAGACTTTTTTGTGTTTTCGCTACGGTCAGCAGTTCTTTTGTTGAGGATAAATTTACAAGGTTGTAGTGACGAGTAAGTTTGAAAGTCACTTAATAGTTTAAACTTGTTAGATTTGAATTTATTATCATTTAGTCAAGTACGGAATGATGTTTTATTGACTTAATGGCTTGGTGACCTAGTGCTAAGGTTCCTATAAATAACATTTCACTTACTGGCCTCCTAAGTTCAAGTCTTAGTAGATAATTGATATTTTTAAAATCAAATGTACAGTGAATGAAGCTAATAGTTGTGAATTGAAGACAACAGGACCCAAATTGTTAGTCCAAGGGCTGATTTCTCGGGTATATCATGCTAGCTATCACACCAAAAGATTTTTTCGAGCAACTGGCAAACAAAATTGCTTCATCGAACTGCCTGACTGCCGCAAAAGTCACACAGCTAAAATGTTAGGGCAAAACAAGAGCTAGGTATGGTAAAATCAGAACATTGGCACTATTTCCCTTGGCTTATCAAGAGCAGATTCATCACTCAGAATCAAATTTGTCTGAGGAACACCAAAGAAGACAAAATGCCTTCCGAAATCCCACAGAAAAAAAAAACTATCAAACTCAAATCATGCTCCTCGGAAATTCACATAGGAAATTTACTCTAGGTGACTTTAGTCGAGATCCCACAGCAAAAAAAAAATCATGCTTAATTGAATTTCCATACATATCCACCTACCAAACAACAAAAAAATACATCCCACAAACAAGCATTGAATGTCAACTGACGATAAAAATTTGCATGACATTCAATATGGTTCAACATCGTGCCACTGCCAAATATAACTTTATTATCATGTCACCAGCACTATATTGTCATTGATTACGTGCAAAAATTTATTCTGACACCTTTTGTATCCGGGCTTGAAACCTGAAAAATTGATGAAATATTGATGACGCGAAGTGGCGAAGCAACAATTATTAGTGACTTTTATTATTCGATATTTGGTGTGCATGACAAATATTCATGGATGTTTTGAGAGAGGCTGGCAGGTGTATTAAGGGGATTGAGAGGACAACTGAACCTGATGGTGGATAAAGAATAGGTAGGAAGGATAGATAGTTATAATAAACACATGTATATGATAAGTAGCCATAGTAAGCAGGTGAAGTTAAAGTTGCTAGCTGACCGAAAGGTTGCTTGAAAGATACGTGACCCAAAAATGAAGGTCAGTCTGTTAGCAGGGGTGAGTACGAATCCCATCGTCTCTTACTGGGTTCTCGACATTCTAAGTTAAATCTATAATTAGGTAGTTTGGTACCCCTCATTTTAGACCTTATTATATCAAGAACCTGACACTATTGCCTATCTACACCAATGCTGTTGACCCAGAGACCCAGACACATCCCAAAAGTTGCGACTGGTCCTTACAATCGACATATTGAACACCTAACCTCCTGACTACACCTCATTCTATAAATCCATTGTCCAATTTTTCCCACACGAATATCATTTTTTTTTTTTTTTTTGAAAAATAATCCACTAAAAAAAGTCATGATGATGAATAAAAAAAAAAAGTTCGCGAAGCATGTGGAAAATTGATTTACAAATTTTGTTAATTGTCAACTGTATCCGTTCGCAATTTGTCACAAATTTGTTCATTTAACATTCGACAGCAATGAAAAATGAGTTGAAAATCGCGAAACAAATGTTGAAAAAAAAACGAGCAGAAAATACTCAAAAATTTAATCATGAGCATCAATATCAATGGAAGAGGAGATTTCAGTTGAAATAAAAAGCAATTCGCGTTGTAAAAGCATTCACATTTATTTTCATCCTAGTGAATCATAAGAGGAAATTGATTTTTTTTCCACATTCAATAAAAAAAATATTTTTTTCGCATATTTTTGAAGCTTCATTTGTTATCAGTGCATTCGAAATGGAAAATATGTACTTGTGTGCGTGTGCAATTCAGGAAAAAAGCAATAAATCGCTTTTCAATTGCATTTTGCTTTGTTGTTGCACAAAAAATTGGATTCAATTCGGGGTAAAAAAAATTGTTCATCGAAAATATGTGGGAGAATTTTTTTATGCGAGTAAATATTATTATTGAGGATTTCTGATAATCGAGTGTTTTATATCGTGAAATAAATGTTGTTAAAATTCATGATATTCGAGTGATAATGAGGATTTTTATTGAAGGTATTAACGAGAATCATGAAAATTTGGATGTTGAGGTAAAAGTAATAATCATATTACGTGTTTAATTGATGGATATTAAGTTTCGGATGTTACTTTACAGTTACACTTATTATAATCATAATTAATTAAAACTAGGTTTTGTTCTTTCAAAATCTACATTTCTGATACACAATTAATCTTAATTAGAGCAATAATATCCAAAACTGCTTTAGTGCTATTTGATGCAGTTTTACTGATGCAACCATTTGAGAACAGACCCAAAAATGTCAAATTCATCATTTTAAAAACATTTTCGCCAATCTGAACTAGTTTATTGTAGCTAAAGTTAATGTATGTCAATCGTAGATTATAAGCAAAAATCTTATCTTCCAGAACTTGAATATCATTATTATATAAATCAAGTTCAATAAGCTGTGGAAATGCTTTAAGATCATCTTGATTAATTTCCTTAAGACGACCATAGTAAATGTCGATTCTTTTCAAGTTCTTGAAGATCTTTTGAATGCCTTTCGGAAATATTTGTACATTTTTATAAGAGACATGTAAGCATGTCACATTATCGTTTGATTGACCAAAGTCATGATCACCTCTGACAAAATTTATATTAGCTGAGTTTGTTGACATTACGTTGAGCTGATTTTGGACATCACAGTAGTAGCTGTATGATGTGTGTGTATCCTCGTTTTTATAATTACAGTAAATTTCAATTGACTCAGTCATTTTTGTCAGTAGAAGCACAAAACTGAGGTTTGAAAGATTAAATTTTACATGTCATTAATGAACTATTTCTTAATAAACTGGTTCATAACTTTTACTTACAGCAGAAGACTAATTTTTACCATTTTTTGAATAAACTTTAGATGAGAATATTTCACAAATTTAGATGAACAATCTACAGCTAAGAAGTTTTGATTGCTTCTGGGAAAAAAAAATATAAAATTTGATATTTCTTATCTCCACGAATTATGTCATGCATGAGCGCTGTACAACGTGAAGCCCCAATTTATTTTATGAACAATCAACAAGGGACAGTTCGCTTATTACGGAACATTTTGAATTTAAATTTAATAAAAATTTAAGATTAAATCCAATCGTTTACTTAAAATTCGTAGCTTAATATAAATCTTTAATTCCTCAAAATTCACATTCAAAACTCCTTTTTCCGTCCAATAATCCATTCCATCAAAAACACAAAAAAGGAATTTGCCACAAAATGCATCTCAATTCATCTATCAAAATCATAATCGTACACAATCCAACCGTATAGGTTGAGAATCGAATAGATAGGATGCAGAACTGCACATATTGCAATTTCATTAATACAATAGGAGAGAAAATAGAGCAAAAATTTCACTTCCAATGCATTTCTAAATAATAATGGATATCTTTTACTGATAAATCACCGCATACACGATGTGTCTGCAACATGAAGAATAACTAGGAAAAAAATGAAATTTTTTTGAGAGAATTATCATATCCTGCCGTGAAATTGCATTCTTCCTCTTCAATATGCATTGTTATTGTTGTAACGTGCGCATTTTTTCCACCAAAAAAAAAGGAAAAAAAAATTCAAATGCATTCGTTCTGTGCAAAAATGCAATCCATTGTTTCGGCGATGAGCTGGAAAAATATAAATATTGTATATAAATTTTTTTAGAATTTTTTTTTTCGCCTGCAATTGCTCCTTTTATTTATTTTAATAGCATTTTTTTTATTTGTTTTAACGCATATATTTTCCAGTAAAATGCATTTTTTGTTTTCTATGTGTGCATTCGACGCTTTTATGTATGTGCATATACCTACACGTGATTGAGAGGAATGGAATGCATTTGATATCAGGGGCCATTTATTTTTGGCGGGAAAATTTGAGGGATGCATTTGATGGGAAAGGCATTTTGGGTGGCACATAATAATTTTAATCCTACAAAACTGTTAAAATTTGAATCTTACAAAATTGTTAAAATTCGAATATTATAAAACCGTTAAAAAATTTGAATGTTACAAAGCCGTTACTATTTAAAACCTAAAATAACCGTTTAAAATCATTAAAGTTTGAATCTTACAAGTCCATTAAAATTTGAATACTACTAAACTGTTTAAATTTGAAAATTACAAAACCGTTAAAATTTTAATCTTACAAAACCGTTAAACACTGTTTTTCTGAACAAAAGACGTCTTGCACCCACCAACCACCTCATTGAAACTCTTACTGATTCTGGTCCTCCTCCTTCCTTCACGTTCTTCTTTATTCCTTTTTTAAAATATTTATTTTGTACATATGCATTTTTTACAGAAATAAATACTCTCCCCTGGATATGCAGTTGTTTGTTTAATGGTTTTATGAAACTTTCCATTCTTGATGATAGGCACACACAAAAAGAGGAAGGCAGCAACAAAAAAAAACGTGAATGAATGAACAGAATTTATATAAATTGTGCAGTAAAACTCAATACAATAAAAATAAATCAATGCGATTTAATTGAACGTAAAAAAATTTGTCTGATAGAGAGAAAGTAATAACAATAATAAATATCTAGTAAATTTAACAATCACAAACATATTGCAGGTATTGCGTTCTGGGGATTATCTGAATCGCTCGAGGACATACAATGTGAGTTTTTTAATGGAGAAAATTTTGGATGTTGCTAAGCTGTAAAAATGATATCTCATCATTTTTGATTGGATTATTAAGCTAAATTGGGATAATAAATGTTATTATTGATGTTGATGTTTATGGAAGTTTTCGATGATATTTTTTGGATGTTTCAAAACGCGTGTCAATTATCTGATTATTGTTAATTTGCAGTTTAAAATTCAAATTTTACAAAACCGTTAAAATTTTGAATTCTACAAGACCAAAAAAATTTGATTTTTACAAAACCGTTTAAATTCAAAATTGACAAAAACGTTAAAAATCTAATTCAATTGATTATTTTCCATAATACAAAGATTAATTTAAAAAATTCAAAAGGTAATCTTGAAAATGTTCCCCCCTCAATTTTTATTGACATTTGTTCAATTTTCTACAATCTATACAACCATCGCCATCATCTCCTTTTGTGTCCTTTTTGAAACATCTGCTGTTTCTTAGTTTCATGAAAACTTTTTTTTGTTTCTTTAACTTTGTTTCTTCCTTTTTATTGATTCTTGTTATGCTATTTTAGTATTCAATATGATGTACCTTTTACGTGTTTCCCTCAACCCTCTTTCGAGGAAAAAAAAATGAAAAAAAAAAAATAAAATGAACCTGGCAAGTGTTTGAAAAGAAAGAAAAATATTCTTATAAAAATTGAATTATAAAAAGTTTTACGTGTTTGGACTTTTGGGAACCCTTTTGTGTGGATACAACATAATAATAGATGCATTACTAGTATCATCTGCAGTGATAATATTTAATATGAATTGAGTTAATAAATTTTGGAATTATTGAGAGTTTAAGTAAATTTTTGAGGTTAGTGTTTCATGTAGGACTGTTCTGTTTGTAAAGATTTTGATTAATTGGGGATTTATGAACTTATTTCCACACACGTATAAGACGCATTTTACAAATTTTTTGGATTTTAAAGTTTTTTTAAACTTAACGAATTTTCAAAATTTAAATTTGTTTCCACCAATTTGATTTTTTTCTCACTTCGAAAACTATTATGCTAATTTAACCTTAATTGACTATGGTTTATTAGCAAAAATTAGCTCAATTGATAGAAAAAAGTGGCAAGAACACTACAGTTAACTTCCCAAATTCATCAGTAGCTAGAAAACCAACATAAAATGGCAAAATTCAATCACAAGTACATTTTGCACCCTCAAAAATTTAAAATTCCAATAAAAATGAGCCAATTTAAGACAAATGCAATTCACAAAACCTCAAAAGAAGATAAAAAGATTTCTTTTTTACCTCAATGTTGAATCTACACCCCACAAATTTTTCTATTTCATTTGAAAAAAAAGGAAAACCGATTTTGCACATATGTTCCTCACCAAAGGAAACAGAATAAAGAACGTAAGATATAGGAAACGTATTAAGACGCTCGGTGTTTAGTTGAAGACAGTATGTTGAAGTTCAAGCTATTCCCTGACTAAAAAGGAAAATTGTCGGCAGAAAGGAGAGTGAATAAAACTTTCACGTTTCAATGCTGTTATCCGTGTTGTGAATATTTAAGGATGTTATTGAAAAAAAGTATATTTAAGGTTATTCCGTATTGTTTCTGCAGATACCTTCACGATTCTCAATTTTGCATGCTATTAGTTTTCATTCTTAGATAAAACCTCGCACTTTATCTCTTAATCATATATCGTATAGTGTGAGTACATTCCACCAGCATGTTCAATCTCAATCGACAATAAATCACACTTTTTTCCTATTTCTGTAGAATCTTAAAAATTTTTGTAAAGAATTTTTTTGCACAAAATCTTTGGCTTTAGGAAAATTTATCACGTAAAATCAAAAGGTCGATGAACAAAATGTTTCATCGTCTTTTGCTAGATGTTATTTTTGTCATTTTAATTGGTGAACATGAGGATTGTTTGTAAATGATGTAAATGCATACTTTCGTCGGTTTCTTGAACATAATCAAACTACTACAAAACACTATTTTACTTTGAAAATTTTCTTCACCTCGAAAAGTATTTTGTGAATTAAATTTTTCCTAACTGTCATTGAAGGATCAAAAGTAGATCAATTGATAGAAATAAGTGGCAAAAACATTACAACTAAGTTCCTTAGTGGATCAATCAGCAAAAAAAAGCACCAAAAACATCATTTATGATCAATCATACAAACAACTCTCCTTCACCGGACAAGAGAAGTAAGAAGAAATGAAAAAAATGACATGGATGTCAAGAATGTGTCGACGAATTTTCCTCTCTGATAGATTGATTCTCATTCTCCCTTCAAAATCATCAGCAATGATAAAGAAAAGTGAAAAGTTTTTAATAAAAAAAATTTGTGTGAACAAGAAGAAGTAGAAGTGTGGGTAAGGTAGCATAAATATTGATACGAAGATGAATGAATAGCCAAAAGGGATTTTTCAATTTCCCTTTTTTTATTTTTGCCTTGAGATGTAAGAAGCATAAAAATTTATCTCTGATTGATTGAATGTGAATTATGTTTCTCAGAGCGAATTCGACTTACTAAGTCATCTCAGTCTTTTTGGTTTAACCGTAATTTTGAATTTGAATTTTATAGAAGCAAATTAGACAAGAATTCGATCAGTTTGATTGATTCAAATTTTAAACAGCCGTTTAAAAGTTCCCTTCCATTGTCGCGAAAAGAACAAGATTGTTCAGAACTAATTTATTCCTTAATCTTATGAATAGAATCGTCAAACGTAGAATAATAAGGAAGACATTTTCCCCACGAATAAGAAATAATTAAACTTTTCTTCCGTAATTAAACTTTTCCATTTAAATGTCACCCATCCTACCCGGTGCTAATAATGAAATTATTTTTCAATTGAATTTCCATACCTTTTCTTGAGATGTCATCTGGAATTGTTGGATATAGAAAACCAAAGTCATGACTCTTATGGATGGAAATTTATGGCGATTTAAAAAAATATCACCTAAAAAATAATTTTTTTCGTGGGTGGGAAAGCATGATGGAACAGAGAAAGCAGAAGTAGCACAAGCAAGAGAAAACCATTAAAAAATATTTTTTTTTCCTGTGTTTCCTCCCTCTTTCGACCTTCCCTTCAATACATAATGCTCATAGCGGCAAGTGATTTCAATAGAAATGGCCAAAAGCGAAGCACAACGTGAAAAAACTTTTTAATTTCTTTTTCATGTTTTTAATTGATATTAAACAGATTTTTTCAATTAATAATTATTAAACTTATTACGGTTTTTTCTTTCGTTGTTGTGCCTTGCACGGCTCTTGAATTAATATTCACCATTTCTTTTTACTTCCTTCTTTTTGTGCCAAAAGGTGCGTTTGACAATTAAAAATATTACGGACATAAATTTCATTTTCTATTTCTTTTTTCTGCTTTAATTTTCTTATTATTTTAATTCATTATGTCCATATTTTGTTGTTTTATGGTTTTGAAATTTAACGGATGTAAGTAATTCAAAAATTAAACTGTCATTTCAGATTCAAAAATATTCAGAGCGAATTTAAGTGTGGTCATCTCAGAAACATGTTAACAAAATTCGAATTTAAAACTTCCGTTAACATTTATTACGCTTATTTCTACATCAAAAAGGTTAATTCAATTTTAAAATGGCTAGAAAAGGTTTCTTCAATTTAAGAATAGTAAGTGGTGATTTGTTTACTGCTGATTGCTCATTAGCTCATTGTGTTGCTGCTGATTTTCGTATGGGAATGGGAATTGCTGTAAAATTCAAGGAAATGTTTGGACAAGTTGATTATCTCAAGAGTCAAAATGTAAGTTAATTCTATTTTCTCGATCAATCGATCTAATTCCTCATTTATACTGTAGATTGGGGTCGGAGGATGTGCTGTTTTAAAGGCTACGAATCCAGATAGATACATTTACTACTTAGTAACAAAAGATAAGTCTTCTGGATCTTATCCGACTTATGACACGTTAAAGAACGCATTAACAGCTATGAGAAATCATATGCTAGCCAATAATATTAAATATGTCGCTGTAAGTATTGAATTATATGATTTATTCAAGATCCAGTTAATAATTTCATAACAAATTTTTCAGATGCCTCAAATTGGATGTGGATTAGACCGATTGGAATGGAATCGTGTCATCACTACCCTTCATTATGTATTTGGTGATTATGATCTTGATGTTACTGTCTATAAATTCACTCCTCCTAAATAAATCATGTATTTGAAATTTTTGTATCAAAAGATCCAGTAGCAATAATTTTAAGATCCAAGCGAATTTTTTCAAGTCTGTCTAGTATGAAAAGAAGTAAAGTAAAATAAAAATTTAAGAAGATATGTATCAAACTGTAGTTGAAAGGAAAGAAATCAACTTTATAGATAATAGCGTAAATGCACTTTGCTTGTTCACTCTGCATCTTCATTTTGGAATGAATTCAGAAACGTAGACTCATAGCTATGAGATGTGAAGAAAGAAAGGAAGGAAAAAGATATGTGTGACTACTTTGCGGTGTCACCGCAATAAAAAATGAGTCGTCTTAGGAATAAAGTCTATTTCAAGATATTTTTTTTTCACAAAAAGGAATCGAGGTGGAAAGAGAGTCAGTCGAAAAAGACACAAAAGGAATTTCTCTTTTTTTCGCTCCGTTGCCATCGTTAAAACCATCGAGTATAGTAAAGTACAGTACATAAAGAAATAAAGTGCAAGCAAGTCTAGTGACACCGACATACTTTACGTAAATGGAATGTCTTGCTAAGAACAAAAAAAAAAGTCGCTCCACACAATTGAACTGCATCAGAGTGCATTAACGCGACGTGATTTTCATTTTCTCATTGCTTTTCTTTTTTCCACGTTTAATTCGCAAGAAGAAGGAAATGAAAAAGATTTCAGCACTGCTATATGCAATAATATTCATCATGTGAGTCTCAAGACATGAGAACAAAAAATTATGTACATGAATGTGCTTGCAATTTTTAATATTCAGCAGGCCAGAGGTGTATCTAAAAGGTGGGGGTTAGGGATAGGATAGGGCTGTCTGTGCGACCCTCCTGCACTTCTTAATTGTTCTTTTGTTATTTCCTAAGCATCCTGAATGTTGGATATACCCTCTTGTAACTTTGGATAAAGAATACATCTCTGAACTCAGCAATATCTGAATATGTGAGGTAATGAAAATTAATTCAATCATCTCATCCATATTTAATCATCATATCACAGACCGTGTTGCTGCTTCTGACTTCGGGTATGATGAAAAGGTCAAAAAAGTATAATTTCTGTAACAATATTTATCGCTTCGTCTAAAAGGATTTTTATTATTCCGTCTGCTAATAAATTTTTGGATTATAATGAATTTATTTCATGGGAATTGTTTCCACTTTTATTTTTTTGCTTCCGTAACACGTTCCACGCTTCTGAGACGATAATAATCGTTCGGGGCACAATGGAATTAAAGGATGTGAAAGTTTTTCTTTTATTTTATTCAACAGTTCTTAAATTGACCTGCCCTCTGGACACAAAGGGGAGAGGAAGTGATTAGATGGAGAAGTGTAAGTATAATGCTTTTTGGAAATATTGAAATTGGAGTTTTTAAGGAACTTAGAGCTGGTGAGTTGTTATTTTATCAGTCTTGACTTAAATATGATGTTTACAAATTCGATCTTTCATGAAATTAATTGGAAGACAGTTGAACCTATGATTCTGAGACTTGTATACTCCCGTATTGTTCTTCACTACTAACCTAAAAGTCCTGTAATGCACTGGAGCAAGAACTGACTACAAAAAGTAAGTGACCTTGTATCAGTTGCCTAGAACAGAATAAAATAATTTTCTAATACTTATAAGGTTTCGTTGGACTTTAGATCAGGACTTTCTGTGACCTAATCCCATCTCAAACTTAATTTTTTGCTTCTATCTCAACTCAACTTCGTTTAAAGGATAAATTGGTCCTTGGATCAACTATTTCTTACATAGCAAACTAAATTGAACATAAGGAATCTATCCAGAGCCAATAAAATCTCTGGATGCCCTACCCCGCAGTTGTGTACACACGACAAACATATTTGTTTTTATTACAAGAAAGGTTTACCCATCAATTTTTCGCTCGAGCAAGAAAAAGCAGAAAATCCTAATGAAAATTAATGATTGATTGTCAAACAGAGAATATGAGAAGGAAGCTGTATGTACCTTTTTACAAGCCTGCCTGCGCACACATTTAATTTTGACAAATGATTTTTGAAAGTTTGATTTTTTCGACTTTGGAGCTGTGCTGTGTTTATTTTCTTACCGCTTTTATATGGCACATCATTTCTCAATCTTCAATCATCATTAATAAAAGTTTCTCACTCTGCTTTCATCAATACAACTGCTTCGTCTGCCGCTGCTTCTTCACGTAAGCTAGGAAAATGAAAATACATGTCAACAATATAAGAAACTTCGTCTTCTTTTCATCCCATTATTTTAATCTTACCTTTTTCATCTCCCTTCTATATTTATGGCAATAGCACACACACAGTATGATGTGTCATAGATACCCACTAGGGAATTTTATTCCATCACACAAATTTATCTCTCACATATGTGTCAGAACCGAAGGAAGTAAATTAATCTTAAAACGTGTGCATGAGAGTATATGGCTTAATGAATAATCCACCTTCAAGTGATGCGCACCTTTGGAATTAATTTTCTTTCTCATTTTTCTCAGGTCATGGTGTATATGAATCACGTTAAGATGTTTATTGTTGATGAAACATGTTGGGAATGATGTATGAGTCGCCAAATGTTTTTGTCAGGTTGATTAAAGGAGAGGAGTATAAGAAGGGGGCTGCTCTTATGTGACGTGACTAGATTTAATTAATTATGACTTCCAACTCGTCCAATGAGGACCTTTATGAAGAAGTTCGCTCTAATCGAAGATAGAGAATCCCAGGAAAACTAAATCTGTAGATTCAGTTAAGACAGAGGATTGGAACTGATCAAAATGATCGAAAGTCAATTTGATCAGATCCAAACCCCTGGTTAAGACTTAGAATAAACAATTTGACTCTAAAGTCTGCTGAGTTGTCTTCAATTGTTCTGGATCAGAGTTACTGGATGTTTTAAATCTTTATGAAAAAGATGAACATCCAAAGACCCATAAATATCCAGAAAAAAACCATCCTTTCTATGACATCATTTATTAACAAACCCCCACTTCCCATTCCACCTAAGGCATCTCATATATCCACATAGGATTTTCCTTCTAAGAACGAAATTAAATTGAAGTTATTCACCTATGGACATTCGAGAATTATTTCGTGACTTTTATAGCTCCCTTGTTAGACGACAAACATTCACTTTTGTAAATGTCAAATGAATCATCGATAACATCATCTATCAAACTTCTATTGACATTTTAGACGTAAAGTTTGTTATTTGCTCGCTGTTGGGGTGGAGTTATGCAATTGATTGGTTGTCAGGTTTCGTTGTTAGAGATGTTGTTGATGAGATTGAATATTTGTTGGTGGTTTTTTAATTGTTCGGAATTGAAAATTTAAAGTATCAAATTCTTTTTTGCCTTAAAACTGCAGATTGAAGTCTAAGAACAACTATGATAAACTCTAAAACACTGTCTTTTATAAATGAGGTCAAATCATGAACTGTTTAAATTAATCCAGTCATGAGTAAAAAAAAAACTCCATCCAAACATTTCAATAACTATCCCCTAAAATTCCAAAACAATTCCATAAACGTGTGCGTGCGATGGACACATAATTTTATAATCTGATCATTTTATGGTGAAAAATTGTTACGACACATTTACGCCTGAATAAAATTCAAAAATGTTTTTTCTCATCTTTTAGTTTTAATTAAAAACCCTCATTCCTCACAATTAAAAGATTTCCTTCCAACTAGAAAAGTTGGAGATGGAGGGAATGAAAGCACATTCTGAAAACCCTTTCGACTAGAAAAATGAAAAAAGTAATTTTTTGACCGAACAAACTTGAAAAAGATCTGTTATCAACTAATTGTCGGTGTTTTGTATGTTTTCGTCCATATTTCAGTAGTTTCTCAGCTCATGTGTGAGAAAAATTTTCAATTTTCATTCTCATGTGTATGGAGAAATGGACATGAAAAAAAATAGGGGAGTAAGGGACGAGAGTCAGCATCATAAATGAGCACAGAAAATTGTTTTTCGTTCTGAGCTTCTTTAAATTTAATAATACAATATGATATTTTTCCATGCATGCACAATCTTTATGGATATGAGACCGAGGAGGACATGATTGTTATTATCAGAAGGGAACCAGTTCACATTTATAGCTTCATTTTAGCTGGATTGATAGAAGGAGGTTTAATTGATGGAAAGGATTAGGTATCAGGTGAGGTTTAAGATGTAAATGCATACCAAGAAACAAGCCCTTGAAGTTGTCAACCATGAATCATATAAGAATTGACAATATCCTCATTAAAACATCATAAAATGTATTTAAGGGCCGTTCACCTATGACGTCCAGGGGGGGGGGGGGGGGGTCAGCAAGAAAAGAACAATAGAAATTCCTGGAAATCCATTGTTCTTTTTTGAAAAATGACCGTTAATTTCGGACGTCATAAGTGAACGACCCCTTAGCGAGTCAAATTTGATCCAGACCCTCTGACTCTAACCCATTGTAAATTGTGACCAAACAATGTAAAGGCTAGAGTCCCAGACAACCCTAATAAACTACTCAGAACATGCTACTCGGTACATGTATCCGTATATCAAGATATGTCCAACTGTGCGATGGGTCATACATATCCGAGAGAGAGAGTGAGTGAGTGAGAATGAGAGGAAAAAAGAGATAAAATTTAATTTCCTGTAAAATCCTTAAATTCCTGCACATGCTTTTCATATTTAATTTATAGATTTTTCACTTAAAAGAATGTCCATAAAAGGATTTGAAGTGTGAGATCCAGTAGAATAAGACGAAGAAAAATCCTTGTCATTTAATGCAACATTAAAATTCACCACATCAACTCTATGAACGATTTTCACTCTCTTTGCTTGCTGTCCCAGACCAGCCTTTTCAAACTTAATCATTTGTGACATTATTTAAATAAATATTTTTATAATTTACGGGACATCAGACAACCTGTAAAGCATGGCACCAACAATACTTAATTTATTCCAACACAAAAATAAAATTTTAAACCCTTTTCATCCGGACATTGTAATTCAGTGGAAGTAAATAAGATGCTCACGAATGCTCCATTTATGGATTTATTTTTTTTACAAATGAGATAGCAGACGGTATGAATAAAAAAAATTATGGTAAAATCCTGCATCCTTTTTTTGGTCATCTCTTCATGTCTTTACCCTCTCTCACTTGTGTGTCCTGCGAACAGATGACTCTATGAATAAAATTTGCACACGTTTAACATTAAATTTAGAATGAGACACGAGTGATTTTCGGTAAATTGAATTTTCAGTTTTCATAACGATGGCTTAATTTTATTTGGCATATAATATGTTTGCGAAGTGAGAATAATGTGATTTTGGATATGGATTATGGATACAGATTTGAAATCTTTTAGCTTCGAACATAAATTGAACTCGATTTCTTAACGGAAATTGTGAATTTAAAATTATAACGAAAGTTCAAAATTCAAATTAAAGTTCCAAAAATTGAACTTGTTACGTTTTGGTGTAAAATTATTTGCATAAAATGCAATTTTAAGTTTGATAAATCAAGAATAAGAATTAGATCAAGGAATCAGCAGATAGAGACAAATAATAGTGAACAACTCAAATTAAAGATTAATAATCGGATAAATACAAACCAAACGATTTCCGGCTTAGCTTTAATCTCGCAAATTCCTTTCTCAAATCTCCTGATTCGACAAATAATACTAAATAATTATCTCTAATTCTTGATTCCACACCAAAAACATTACGTCAATTGACAAACATTTAAAAATGAGAGGATCAATCTCGCACATATAAAGAAATGTCAAAATACAAAAACGAGACATTTAATATTCATCACCCAAAAGTAAAACATAAATAAATAAGTTTTTTGATTGGAAGTGGCAAATTTGTTTAAAGCTTAATCTCAAAATGAAATGCTTGACTTCATTTCTCTTGGCTGTTTTGTGTGTAAATTTAATAAATTCCATTCCATCTACGGATGAAGACTATCTGGAAGCAGTGAAAGATGTTAAATACCTTTTTGGTGAAGGAAGTGGACATATTGAACCGGAGGAAGTGCCAAGGTCCAGTACACCAAGTGAAGAGTTGACTTCAAGTTTATCCCTTGGATCAATTGTTGATGGTTTTGTTGGACTTTATGATGCAACTACTGAGGATATATCAACGTCTACTACTGAGACTATATCGACTACAACTCCTGAGGATCTATCGATGTACACAAAGAATAATCTTTTAAGGATACTTAGTACTAGAGTTAATGATCTTCAAATGCAATTTATTGAACAGCAACAAGAAATTTTTGATAAAAGCAAAAGCTCCCGAGATGAGCATGAAATTTCGAGTTTTACATACATTAACTTGTTTCAAAATAAATATGATAAGGAAGTGAACGAATTGAATGAGAAAATTAGACGTTTAGAGTCCAAAAGATCAGAAATTGAGACTTCAATTCAAGAGTATTTGATGAATGAAACTGAAAATGTAGAAAAATTAAAAACACGCAAAAAAATGTTACAAAGTTTCAAAGATCAAGGCTGCGATGAATGTCACGGATTTCTGGATGATAACGCAATCGATGAAGAACTTAAAAATATTGATAAGAAAATAGGTAAACTAGAAAACAAAGCAGACGCGATTAGAGACCAAAAAGAACCACTTGATACGAAAGAAATGCAAGCGTTAAACTCAAAATATGTGGAACTGATTCAAATTTATGAAAAGGAAATTCAGGAACGAAAAAAGAAGGAACATTTTGAGTTGATCAATAAAATGATCCAAGAAAAATTGATGAACTATACAGAAGTCATTGAACAGAACTTTAAGGAAGAATTGATATCACGGCAAAATTTCGCAGAGAATTTCCTTGACATTCGAAAATTGCAATTAAGTACGATTGATCAAAGTGATAACGATGCTGAAGAAAATACAGGAGCATGTCCAACTAAACATTTTGAATGGAGATCTTTCGAAAATAGAGCAGATACAGAAAAAAATGGAGTTTTAGCTGGTGTTGATCTGGACGGATCTGAACTTTATGTTATTCGTAGAAAGTCAGGAACCCCTAAATTATATGGAAAAGTTGCTTTAAGGCCTTCCAGGAATGACGCCTATGTCACTAAAGATTCTTCTGAAATTGCCGTTGATGATGTTGATGTAAGTTATCATTTCATTGGATATACTAATTATAGTGAAATATTTTTGTAGATCTTGGTTTCCAAAAACTTTAAATGGCTCAGCTCAAATAAAAATCGAATTGTTGATGTTATGCCTCCAATTTGTAGAGCTAAAAAAGACAATTTATTTGTGCCTGGAACAGTGTTGGAAGATGGAAGATGTCGAATTGGTTTTGGATTTGGTATTATCATGTTTGATAATAATTTTGAAATTCTTACTTTTCCTTCATGTAAAAAATTCGATTTGAAAAGTGTAAAGAAATGGTATTGAATACAAATATATTTTGTAAGTGAAATTTTTGTAGACTTTTTGTTAATTAATTCATGCAGGAGTGAATAAATTTCATTGGATAAATAGATTTCAACGTTTTGAATGAGAAATAGCAGTTGTTGCAATACTGGACTCTGAGATAAATCGATTTAAAGTCAAAATTTCTGAAAATATTTATTTGTGGAATCGCCCATTTGCAAAAATACTACACATTTGTTTATAATTCTGGATTATAAGTCAACAATTACGTCACCATTTTAAAATTGAGAGAAACAGCATCGCACATATAAAGAAATGACCCAACCTGAACTGAGACATTCAAAATTGAGCACTCAAAAGTAGAACAGTAAAATATTATTTTAAATTTGATAAGAAGTGTAAGCTTGATCTCAAAATGAAATGCTTGACTTCATTTCTTTTGATTGTTTTGTGGACGAATTTAATAAATTCCATTCCATCTACGGATGAAGACTATCTGGAAGCAGTAAAAGATGTTAAATACCTTTTTGGTGAAGGAAGTGGACAAATTGAACCGGAGGAACAGCCAAGGTCCAGTACACCAAGTGAAGAGTTGACTTCGAGTTTAGCAGCAACAGAAGAAGCTTCATCAACTGATGATCTTGTTCAACTTTATGCTGCAACTTCCTCTCCCGAAGATCAATCGACTTCTACAACAGAGGCTATATTGACTACAACTCCTGAGGATCTATCGATGTACACAAAAGAGAATCTTTTACGGATACTTGGAAATCGATTTAATGTTCTTCAAACTCAATATTTTGAAAATCAGAAAGAAATTTTAGACAAGAGCAAAAGCTCTAGAGATAAGCAGAAATTGTCGAGTTTTACATTCATAAACTTATTCCAAAATAGATTTGACAAGAAAATGAACGAAATAAAAGAAAATATCGAACGTTTAGTGTCCAAAAGATCAGAAATTGAGACTTCAATTCAAGAGTATTTGAACGAAGAAGCTGAAAATGCAGAAAGCTTAAAAGAACAAAAAATAATATTACAAAATTCCAAAGATCAAGGCTGCAATGAATGCCACGGATTCTTGGATGATGACGCAATCGTTGATGAGCTTAAAAACATTGATAACAAATTGGCAAGATTGGAAAATAAAAACCGAGAAGAACCGAATGATGCAAAAGAAATACAAGCAATAAACATAAAATATAAAGAACTGATTGATATTTTTGAAAAGGAAGTTCAGGAGCGTAAAAAGAAAGAAGATTTTAGCATAATCAATAATATGATTCAAGAAAAATTGCGGAACTATACAGAAGTCATTGAACAGAACCTTAAAGATGAATTAATATCCAGGAAAGATTTTGCCGATAACTTCCTTGACCTTCAAAAGTTACAATCAACACCGATTGTTGAATGTACATCCAAACCATTTGAGTGGAGAACTTATGTGAATGTATCAGATACAGAACAAAATGGAGTTTTAGGTGGTATAGACCTGGATGGATCTAAAGTCTATGTTATTCGTAGAAAATCAGGGTCTGACTATAATTATGGAAAAGTAGCATTAAGGCCTTCCAAAAATGAAGCTTATATCACTAGCGATTCCTTAGAGATTAATGTTGATGATTATGAAGTAAGTAAATTATTTGTTCCAGCGTGGACATATCTAGATGATCAGGATATATATACTTACTTAAACTTTACATTATTTACAGCTCTTGATATCCAATAACTATCAATGGCACAGCTCTGAAACTACAAAAATTGCAGAAAGTACTATTCCGATTTGTAGAGCCAAGAAAGACAATTTATTTGTTCCTGGAAAATTACTTAAAGACGGAAGATGCAAAATTGGCTTTGGATTTGGTGTCTTGTACTATGATACAAATATTTAAATTCTTAGCATTACTGCTTGTAAGAAACTCGATTCAAAAAATGTTAAAAGTTGGTATTAAATACTAGTTTTTAACGGGTTTCAAAAATTCAAATTGTAACGGTTTTCAAAAATTCAAAATTTAACGGGTTTAAGAAGTTCAAAATAAATTTATTTTTATTCCATTAAAATATTTTTAATTACCAGCTAAAATTTGTCCTTTAATTTGTTCTAATTGAATGCCTTCATCTAACTCATAATTTAAGAGATTTTGTTTCTTTCCACCTTTCTATTTAATCTTCTCAAACCATCCGTAAAATGTTGAATAACAGCTTATGTCCCCCAAAAAATAGCAAAAAAAAGATAGAGAACCTTCCACTTGTTCAAACACATCACAAACACTCAACATTTATTAATTTTCCATGCTTGTCTTTATTCCCCTAATTATCTGTGAAGTGACCTTTTTTAATGTCCTTTAATACGGTAAAGTATGGGTGAATGAGGAGCACAAAAAAAGAGAGAGCAATGAAGATGCTGACTTTTCATATTCCATTCACCTTACATTCCATTGTTATTGCCACAACTTATAATGCTTTAAAGGTATTTAAGTGGAAGCAGAGAAGTGCCATACAGCAAAAATATTCATACTGTCGCATATTTAATATCCATAATTTCAAAAAAAAAACTTTCAACAAGTTCATTGATGTACATAATATTCAGGACACACATCTACAAAAGAAAGGAAAATTTATTCTTTTTTTTTGTGTCCACAAAAACCACTGAGGATAGCTAGAAGCTCTGAATTGCAATATAAATGGGCTTATTCAATTCATTATATAGCACATTACCTCAATCATATAAAGTACCAAAAATGAAGCTGAAAAGACGTTAAGCAATGCTTGTCATATAATAGAATCGGTAAAGATTTATAATGTCAGCAGAAAAAGAAAGAAAAGAGCAAGGCAAAAGTCCCTTTCAGGTTCTGTTTTATTTTATTTTTCTATACCATCAGCAGCCACTTATCTATAGAGCTTGATACAATATTCTCTTTCTTTTTATGTGTGTGCTGTATGATGAGGGGAACGAGCATTATCCATGTACTGAGCTCTGTGTAAACCTTCTTTGTAAGGATGATTGAGGTATGATGTTGAATATTATACACGTTATATTGGTAAATGGGATATTTTAGAAAGTGATTCAAGAATGTTAGGGATGTGGGGAGTTTGGAGGGTTGAAAGTGGTCAAAAAGAGTGACAATTTTCAAATAATTCCAAGTTTTTAATATTTGAGTTTTTAAAAACCGTTAAAATTTGAATTTTTGAAAACCGTTAACATTTGTGTTTTTAAAAACGGATAACATTTGAATTTTTGAAAACCGTTAACATTTGAGTTGTTGAAAAGCGTTAAAATTTGAATTTTTGAAATCCGTTAAAATTTGAATTTTTAAAAGCCGTTTAAATTCTGTTGACGCTAATTTTTCACCAAAATTTCCTCAACATGAACCTTCTTCGTGACATCCAAAAATTGTCACGATATTACATTTTAAAAGGCAGAGAAGTTGTTAGAACACTTTCTTTACTCCTCATTTTTTTCCTATTAAACCTGAATATTGCTGTACATTTTTATCCATGTCTCCATGTCATATCATGCTGAGGTAGTAAGTAGTAAAGTGATTTGAAACAAGTTATTCACACTCACACACATTATCGACATCGAAAAGTGTATTTGTTTAGGATGATGGATATTATTGAAGGACATAATATTAAATAAGTATCTTCGCACATCATATTTGGGTGAGTCAACCCTCGATTATATGCAGCAGCAGGGAGGGAAAAAAAGTTCAATAATAGAGAATTGAGTTATGGAACAAAGAAGACACGTATAAGACTCTCTTTTTTGCTTTATTAGCAGAAATTTCCACATCATCCTACATATCGCCCCATTCATTACAGTTTGAAAGGCATGATATACCTTATAAGTCATGATGTAGGTACTTACAATAGAAGTGAACAAAAAAAAAGCAATAAAGTCTGTACGGAAAAAGGTGAAATTTATGTAATTTTATGTTTAACATGAGTCTTTTATTCCATTTTCCTGTAAGAATATTGCCATAAACAGATTTTTTTGCATCGATGGCATAAATGTTATGTATCAAAAAAATGCTACTTGTGGATGGAGTGGAAATCTGTTTGAGGAAATTCATACCAAACGTGTTTTTAATCAGTTATACTTTATACTCTATAGGAAAAAAAAACTTTATCTATTCAACTCACAGGGCTTTGTGGTAAACGTGCGACTTGTTCCATTCATACAACAAGCTGCAAAAAAGTCCATAAATTTTATCTCTCCTGTGGAGAAAAATTGAAAAACTTTCTTTCAAAAAATGCTGAATGTTTTAGAAAAATTGGGTGTCAGAATGTCTTCTTTCAATTTTTAAGGGCTTTGTACTGTTTATTGTAGTTTGACTTTGTTTGAATTTTTTCAAACACGTTGAGATTTGAACATTTAATAGCAGTTAAAATTTGAATTTTTGAAGCCGTTACAATTTAAATTTTTCAAAACGGTTATAATTTGAATTTTGGAAAGCCGTTATTATTTGAATTTTTGACAGCTGTTAAAATTTGAATTTTTAAAAGCCGTTAAGATTTCAGCCAATATTAACCATCCAACAGAAATGCGCTCATAACCTTTCAAATCCAGCATCATCAATTAATTTACTTTCTTCCAACTTTACAATATGAAAATTCAATTTTCAGGTCGCATCATAAAATGTTTTCTTCACAGCGGTTTCATTCATTTCCTCACACTTTTCAATTTTCAAAGACGACGGAGCAAAAAAAAAAATAAAATTGTGAGTATGTGCAAAAAGCATAAAAGCTTTTGATTCCTTGCCAAATATAATTTACATAAACTTCTCTATATCCACTCAACATGCTTGTACGAAACCATAAGTCTGACAGTTTTTCACCTTTTTATCTTAATGGATATATACATAATGTTGATGTAGCAACAACAAGAACAAAGGAATAACAACAATTGCATTAGATTTTTTTATCTTAATTATTCCATCTCACTTTCATACTTACTTATTTGCTTTTTACCACACTTTCCTATCCATTCTACCTATCTACACTTTTATGTACATACACAGGAAACATCTCCGTGTACAAAATTGGATAATTGAATTACATTTGGCCAAGCATGAGATTCCCATTGTGAAATAGAGAGCTATGAATGGTAGCAGTTTCAATTTCACTAAGATGAAATGAAGAAAATTGCTTTATGTTTTCTATACTTAAGGATGTAGAGGAGCCACTATATAAATTCATTAATGGGGAGTAAAAGGAAAGTGGATTAAATGATCATGTGTGTATGTGGATATGTGGATATGCTCACGGTTGCTAAATAGTTTTTCCGAGAATTCTTGCTGATGAAGCAGTAAAAGAGTTAGTTGTGGATAGGCGCATGCTGGATGCTAGCTTGGAAAATGTTTCAATTTTAACAGCTTAAGAAAGAAGTGAAATATTGCTGAGTAACAGCTGCGTAGCACAGAAGAGGGTATAAATATGGTTCTAGGAAGGATAATGAGCTCAATGAAGCTAACGGGAGAACCAAGGAAGTCAAATGAGGTTCAAGATAGTCTTTAATGGTCTAAACAGGTTCAAGGAGGTCCAAAGAAGACCAAGAAGATTCAAACAGATCAAAGGGGAAACAAAGGCGATCAAATGGAGAACAAAGAGGTTCAATGAGGTTCAAGAAGGTTCAAAGAGGTCCAGAAAGATTTAATGAGGATCAGCAAAACACAAGAAGGTCCAAGGAGGTTTAACAAGGTCAAAAAAGGTTTAATAAGGATCAGGAAAATCTAAGAAAGTCCAAGAAGGTTCAATAATGGTCTATACAATTCCAAAACACCATTCACGATCGAGATTATAAGACAAACTGTCCCAAATCACCAAATCTCCACATCTACATCGAATATTAATGCTCAAAAAAACTTTTACACTTTTCTATAATCATATATCAATTCTTAATGTTAGTTCTTCTACAAATTCACTTGAATAGTTTCTCTTTCTATTTCTGTTTCTTACCGAATCTTCCAAGAAAGAAAGCTCTTAATTTAATAAATTTCTACGTAAAAAGGAGAATTAATTTGCTACTTTTTCAATTTACTAGAAGTGATCTAAAGAAGCAAACAGTCGTAAAAGAAGAAGTAAAAGTGAACTTCTTAAATAAAGGTCAATTTACATGATGATGTTTTTCTGGCTTAATAAAGTCAATAAGGTGGGGTTCACCACCTCAAAAGTAATTGAATTAAGTGAGTCCACATGTAAATGGCACAAAAGTTTCTGTGGCATTTTTATATTCAAGAAGTTAACAAGGAGAACTCTTCAAATGCAGTCAATGCAATGCTTTAGTTCCGTCATTCTTAATGTAAATATATTCTGATTGCTCTATTCTGCATCGATTGATTTGATTCATCTGCAAATGCTGTTGAAATATTTATTTTGAGTCTGAGATTTGGATGATGCTGTAGTGCTTTAAGATATTTAAATTTTGAATTATTGAGTTTTATTATTCTTATCTTCTTGCAGTTGCAATTGTAAAGCTGACTATTGATTTAAAATAGTGTGAACATTGAATTTGTAAGTTTTAAATAGTTTCTAGCTCTGAAATCTCTCCTGCTTAATTAATGAGCAAATAATGAATGAAATAAAGTAAAAAACAACTTCGAAATCAGAGATGAAAAGTGATAAATCTTCCATCATTAAAATCGTCTCTCAAGCTTAAGAATCGCAACCAAAAACTGCATTTATTCATCAACAAAACACTAATTAGCAATAAATTCAACAAAAGATTTCAAATAGTATCCACTTGTATACACTTTTTTTTGTGCTGCTGCTGCTTGGTATTATTATAATTCTTTATCTCCTTTCACTTAATTAATGTTCCTTTTCTAATTAGATGCCCGTCGTCGACAATGATACATTGTCGTAACTGAGAAGATGAGGACGGAAACATTGGGCAGTCAAAAAAATATCTTCGTATAAGTAATGAGATGAGGAACGGATGGATGATGGCGGT